CACCCACTAGGAACCTAATAGACTATAGAGAGCAACACCGGCAGCCCTTTTTTCTCCTGATATATAGAGTTTCATTGTAGAACAAATCCAGTTACGAAAGCCTATCTAACTGACCGTGAGAGAATATTTCCATCCAGACCCTGACGATTCACAGCACTCTTTACAGGCTATTTTTCTCGTCTCTTGCTGATGTAAACCTCTCCTTTCGGACTGATTTCTATTCTCTTGTCAAGAAAATAATAATGCGAGTGAACAAGGGGTGGTATGGGGGAACAAATGACTAAGACCCTGTTCGCACAGTAGCCTACAGGGTAAATAACAGCTCTCTGACCTTTAGTGTGATGGAAACACGCAATGACAGTCACTTGCTCCCTATCTAGCACACAAATGTATTCACACCTGGGTCAACAGAGCAACAACAGGATGGATAAAGGTGCCCTTGGTTTTGGCACATTTAGTGAATAGCTGACTGAAATGATGTTGGCTGAAACTTACCACAGATCTTCATGCCCAGTTTCCTCGTGCATCCGTGTGCAACCCCGTACCACGCGTCGCCGGCTAAAACGAGACGTTTGGAGAGCTGTTCAACAACCCATATTTTATTTTATTTTGTATGCTATGGGTGAGGATGTGTGCGCCTAATAAAGCAGGGTCAACATGACGCAGAAGACAATGAATGTGCGCAACAGATTTGGGTATTTGCCGGCTGTGTGGCTTTTTCTTTCTTTCTTTCTTTTTCTATGTGTCTATTTCAGGTTTTTGAAAGGAATCAATAGAGGCTATCTGAGAGGCAGACAGCTAATAGATGGTGGCACACATCCGGCAAAGAGGCGGTTTAAAATAAGCGGGCATGAAATGAGGTCTCGGAATTAATTGAGTGAATCGCTTGTGTTTGACTTGCCAGCCGCCATACAGCGAGACTAGAGAAAATGTAGCATTCGAAATACACGAATGACCTCCAGCATTAGTGACCAGACAGACGCCAATGAAATGAACACACATTCACAACATTAAGCATGGGCATATACTGAAATGCATGAACAGCAATATTCACAACGTTTTGAGCTTGCATTTTTATATAAATAACATAGTACAGGTATGTGTTTGGAAACGAAGCAGATTTGTTATTATTATCATCAATAGTTTGAAATGAATTGATCTCATCCTCCGGGGTGGGTTGTGTCTGGAGGCAGATCTAGCTCTATCTGCCCCGAGCGCGTGCTGTCACGAGGCAGAGACAGCGCGCGCCCCTCAGGTCAGTGAGCGTGAGATAGAGCTTGGCAGGGAGATAATGGCAACACACACACACACACACACACACACACACGCACGCAATAAAGCAACACAACATACAATTCGTTTGACAACATAGATTTATAACAAATTTGATATAACATAAAACATATACTACGTCGTTATATTATTGCACTTTTTTTTTTACATATCTACACAAAGGCACACTAATCAGATCAAATCCGTTTCTTTTATGCATTTATTTAAAAAAATCCTGACTCGGGCATTTTAAATAGAGTTACAAAGAAAACTGGAATGTGAATTGGACCGTGATGGCGGGTAATTTTTGTAATTACGCTATTAAGGTGGGACTGTTGAGAGCAGATGATGGCTGATTGCTGTTATTTAAGCTGCCATAAAAACGTGGCAAAATGCAGGACTATTGTTATAAAATGGGGGACCATAATTAACTGCAACACGTAATCTAGGCAGAAGTGGGATGCTCTTATTTGAGAGTAAAATTAAGAATATCATTTTATTTGTAATCTCCAGATATGAATTCAGACTAAAATTATACCCAGAAAAAATGAGCAAGAGATAAAATAATCGTACATAAGATTATTATTATTTAGTAGTGTTATATACATCTGTACACATCATCTGTTTTTTGATCTCTCTCTATTCCTCACTTTGATCCTGAAATTTAAGAATTTACATTTTTATGACAAAAAAATGATTATTAGGAATTCCCTATCTATCTATCTATCTATCTATCAGATAATTTATTATTTGTCTCTCTAGCTGTCTCTGTCAGCTAATAGACATTTCACAGGGTGCTGTGTGTTTTTTAAGGCAGTGATGAACATCGCCACCCCACGGAGTAAACAAGCCAAGTGAAAAACGCGTTATCCAGAGAGACCTACTTGTGGCAGGTTGTCGTAAATTAGCCGTGTTTGGGTCCATATCAGCAGCCGAGGAAGAAGGTGCAGAAGACGCCATCAGTCCAGGAGAAACACCTCACAGCTTTCAGACTGAAGAAAAAAAAAAAACACACTACACGGAAAATATGGAGAGTTAGGATAAAACAAAGTGATGGCACAAATAATACTGTCTTATATCTCATATACTGCTAATAAAATTAAAAGTAAGCGTTTTTGTTTTCAAGGAATCTGTAACATAATTTCACGCATCTGTGATATCCTTCTGAAACGGCAGTAATTCACTCCCCGTCACAAGGATAATTCGCGCTCAGTGTTCTGTCATGTTCAGAACTGCGCTCTGAGAACAGCGCACATTACAGCACATCCAAAGCGCGAGAAATCAGCAACAAACTTAAGAAATAACGAAAAGAATTGTTAGTAAGTTCCGAAAATATCCCGACCTATATAACTTGGTATTTTGGATGGCGGTCCGGTTCTTGTTCTCCAGACGCACCGGACCCTCTGAGCTCCAGCGCGCAGCAGACCCTGAAGTCTGACTTAATTGGCTCTGTAACGAGGTCTTTAAATCGAATCATTTAAAACGCAGAAATGAAGAATCTGCTCACTTCAACCACAGCATAACAAAGGCGACGAAGGCAGGACAGAAATAATCATTGTGAAGGCATTATTAGTGTTATGATGATGACGATAAATACTGTTTCTTTGTGTTTAACCGATGCGCCCCCCCCCCAAAATATAAATAAATAAAAAAGGAGAGAAAAAATGAATAGAAAAAGAGTGACTTATTGATTTCTCAATTAAGATGATCTTTAAATATCTTCAAATAACGCGCATCAATCACTGTCGGGGTTAGTGAAATATGGGCAAAAATCATTGCGCTGCTCATGTGTTAAATTACACCATGTTTTTAGATCATTATTTTGCCTGACCTGTGCCTGTAAGATGACAATATTGGCATAAACTGGTTTATATCTGCACATGCATTTATTATCATCGAAGATAAAAAAGCACAGTTTAGTTTCTGCTCCTCTTTCAAGTATTCTTATCCTCCTAACATTATAGAAGAGAACAAATGTAGACCAAAACGCAGAAGGTGAGCGCTTACCTTACGAAGTCACAGGTGTCACAATAAAATCCAGAAAAACGGAGGCACTCGGAGGAGGATGTTTCACACCGCGTGATGTGGCTGTGAGGCACTTGACATCAGAAAACCACAAGAGTGAACAAGAAAATAAAAACCCATCCAGCGCTAAATTTTGTTTCAGTGTTTATCCTTCAAAAGGCGAAAGGAGAATCTTCTAAATTCACTTCTGCTGTATTTTCCCACCGGTTAATATCCACGGGGTTGTCTCGAGATTATTATATGGACTCAAGCCATCAGACACATGAAGTTTAATTCTCCGAGTAATATATATATATATATATATATACACGTCAAAATACCGTGGGCGTGAGACACCGGTGAGTGAGAGAAGGAGAGAGAGGGAGGAGAGTCAGACAGAGAGACATCATGAGGACGAGCTCAGGGTTTTCTTGTTGTTATTTTGGAGAGAAACGATAAAGATTTTTAGTCTATTCTAATGAAACAAAATGTTAGGAATGAGCTTTTTTATTTATTGCATGACTTGTGGATTAGCACCAGGTAGCCTATAACCTAGATGAGACATCTGGAACTACAACAGCAGCGACATCCACGAGGTGGCAACAGAGAACAGACCAACTTGAACTTGAATGAAGGATTTTTGGGCAGCGCCCTGGAAAATCACTTGAGCTGCTCGGTTTATGCCTGTAAGATCGGTTATTTCAGAACCTCTGCTGATTACGCTTGTCAGTACTGATGATGGCAACTTTTTATTGGTTGTTGTTAATTATACGTGCGCAGCATTATTACCGCGTTTTCAGCACCTGGACAGCTCCACTCGGACAATACAGTCAATAAGAAGTGACCGGGGCTAGTTGTCACGCTTCTTTTTTTTTTTTGCAGTCAGTCAGTATTTCTCTGGGTGGGTTTTTCGATTTTCAAATCCTGTAGGCGCAAGTTTTGACAACAACAAGTATTTGAACGCACACATCGTTATTTGAACGCATTGTGTTTTTATTGTGTTCACCTGTACAACAACAATAGTATGAAATGAATCTTACTTTTCAGAATAAAATGAGCAAAAGTTATATTTAAAATAAATTTGAAGACGTTTGGATTCAGCACACAACTACTGCTATAGAAAAAAAGCATTTGTATAATTGGACTCAAAATATTATAGTATATACTATAGAGATAACCTAATAAACAATGTTCCAATGTTCTAATGTACCAATTGAGCTAAGAAAAAGTTATTTCTGATTGTTTTTTCTTATGTGAACGTTAAGGGAACATTCCGTTTTATCATTATGGGAACGTTTTGAATGTTCTCTGAAAATTCTAAAACAAGTAGTAACATAAAAAAAAATAAAAAATGTTAGATGAACGTCCAACTAAAACTTTTCAGAAAAAAACCGTTCCATGAATGTATAAATGTTTTTGTACTAACATTTTGAGAAAAATATTAAAGACCAGATAACTTTGAACGAACATTCTATTAACTTTATTTGGAAGAACGTTTGTTCACAACGTTAAGACAACCTTTCCAGAACGTTAGCCAAAAAAACAACGTTTCTTGTTATATGGAGAGTTTTTTTGACAACTTTGCAGTGTGACAACTAACCCCGATTCAAACTGTGAAACAATATTGTTGTTTTTCCTCCGTTAGATGGCGCAATAATGTCTTGCACCTTTCTGAACAACTACACCGAAAAAGTGAAGTAGGAAATAGCTACTTTATTGTCTTAGGACACATATAGATTACAATTCACGCAGAATATGATTTAAAGTCCAGTCAGTATTAGACTGTGCATACATGATATGCTAAACATGACACACATTGTTTATGAGCATTAGATATATTAATACTAAAACAATACTGTATGTGATTAGGACCACTATAGATCTGCTAGACTCTTTGTTTGTTGTTTATTTATGATGAAGATGATAATGTATCATCTGTGCTGTCAGTGGACTCTTCATCTGTGTCAGAGGATTCATCATATGAGGACTCATCGTCATCTTCAACATCATCATCATCATCAGATGTGTCATATTCATCATCATCATCTGATTCCTCATCCGCTTCTAGAATTTATAATCATATCCAGATAAAGAAGGTGAATTCAACACACTTTATTTTCAAGTCTTTGCTCACACATTATTAAAGTTACCCTTTTGGAACATTGCTTCTATTTAATTAATGGTATTTCATTTTCATTCATGTATGCAGTGCTTATGAAAACAGTTTTGGTTAAAGCAATTTAGAAGTACATATCACCATGTTAATTTAAATAATAGAGAGGAAAATCATAGTAAAGCTTATGTTTTTGTCATACAAATGTAATTTATTCAATTTGAGGGTCAAAGCAAAGTGGAACTATCATGTCCAAAAACAACAAAAAACAGATAGATAGATAGAAAATTAATAGATTATAATCTCACCTATCAGTAATTTTTCTTCAATGAGAGGCAGGAAGCTCTTGGCCTCTGAGTTCTGGGGCTCATAAATTAAAACTAAATTTATAGAATGATGAAAACATCAGTATCATGATGTGAGAAATGTCAAATGTAAACAACACCAATTCACATGGCTACTTACTCATTTGACAGAGTTTCTTCGCAAGTTGGTAATTCTTTGTCATCACGGCCTGCAGAAACTGGATTCACGTTTGTTTAGTCAGTAGTCATTTTCAAACACATCAGATACATGACGTGCCCTAAATGCCTCACCTCTGCAAACAGTTCTAGCGGCACGTGTCCTTCAGCACTCTCATTATCATCCTCTTCACTCTGTGCCTCATGAGGATCCTGGTCATTTGCAGAGAGCACTACTTGAGGGGCCTGGATATGGAGTTCATGCACACTTTCTGACTGGACATCACATTCTCCTTGTTTTTCTAATGCTTAAATTAAAAAAGAAAAATTAAATCCACTTTTGGACACCGTGGGTATCAAAAAATGTTTCAGGAACTTTGAGACAAATAGATTGAACAATAAATGTGCTAAAAAGGACTAAAGGATAAAACAGATTCAGTACCTGTCATAATAGGGGGAACCTGTTTAGGTAGTTTATGTCCAAGCGTGGTTACATTTCTGAAAGACGGAGCTTTAGAGGCATTATACCCTCTGCTGCTGAAAAAAATGGGTGATAAAAGGTAAACTATTAGAGATCACTGGAGCGAATGAATGCCATCAGCTTCCCTGCTTTATGCATGTACGGCCCATAAACCACATCCCATGCATGACCCAAAAGAGCATGCTGACCGGAATACAAAAAGCCACTGAAGCACTCAAATTAAAAATAAGCTTGTTTCTTTATTCCTTTCAGTACTGGTCATCTATCCTCATTCTCTAGTATAGAAAACTTGTTGCTTTTAGTTATTATTTTCTGATATGAAATACTTTTGTTTTTACCTCTTGGAACTGTGTACTTTGAGTGTGGTATCTGATGTTTCAGAGTTCAAGGAAGGATTCCCCTCTGTTTTTTCACCAGGTTTTGCTTTCTGTTGCCTATACAAAACCAAAACCAAAGCATCTAAATGATGGTTGAAGTGGACCAGTACAATAAAAATATTATAAAACATTCTTACTTCAAGTAAATAAGTTTAAAGGAATAGTTCACCCCAAAAATAATAATTTGCTTAAAATTTCCTTACCCTTAGCTCATCCAGATTTTGAGAAATGAAGCATTCCATCACTTGCTCACCAATGGATCCTCTGCAGTGAATGGGTGCCGTCAGAATGAGAGTCCAAACAGCTGATAAAAACATCACAATAATCCACACCACTCCAGTCCATCAGTTAACATCTTGTGAAGTGAAAATATGCATGTTTGTAAGAAACAAATTCATCAAGATGATTTTAAATCATTACTTCTGGCCAAATTATGATTCCATAATCCATAATAATGCTTTCTCTAGTGAAAAAGCCCATGCCCTGTTATCCATCAAAATCCACAGACATATTTGCTTAGAACGGTTTGCTTATAAACAATGCTTGATCTGTGTATATTTCTTTCCTGATTCAGACAAAACTACTTTCACTGGAGAAAGCAATATTATGGATTATGGACATGTATTTTAGCTGGAAGCAACAGTTTGAAGTTAAAAACATCTTAAAGATGGATTTGTTTCTTACAAACATGCAGCTTTTCACCTCACAAGACATTAACTGATGGACTGGAGTTGTGTGGATTATTGTGATGTTTTTATCAGCTGTTTGGACTCTCATTCTGACGGCACCCATTCACTGCAGAGGATCCATTGATGAGCAAGTTGGAATGCTACATTTCTCCAAAACTGTTCCAATGAAGAATCAAACTCATCTGAATCTTGGATGGCCTGAGGGTGAGTACATTTTCAGCAAATTTTAAGTTTTGGGTGAACTATTTCTTTAATTTACCCCAATTCTTTTACATTGACCTGAGAGCTGCATGGGCAATTTATGTTTGTTAATCACTGTTATAAAAAGTCTCCAATGATTTTACCTCATGGTTCTTGGAGTTTTGAGTTTCATATTTGTCTCAGAGTTTATAGAGGGTCCCTGTCCTTCTGTCTTTCCACTGGGTTTTGGTTTCTGTTGCCTACACAAAATTAAACAAAGCACCTAATACATTTGACACTGACGTTTTTAAAAAAATTTTTAATTTAAGTAAAGCATATTGTATATGTATCCAAAAAGCATATTGTATCCAAAAGACCTCTCATTGATCTGAAAATCCAGTCTTCATTGTTCACTTCAGAGGTCAGCATTTAACCAATGTGAAATCATAGTGACCTGTAACACATTTTTAAACCTACTTTGGTTTCCATTCCACTGATTCTTTTGCCGCTGGATCTACAGAACAAAGCCGGTAAAGTCATTCACCCTTTCAGAAGAAATATTAGCCTTAAGGAAACCAAGGCAGACCGTCGTCATGTGCATGCAACTGCTAAATGTTACAAAACGGTTGCTATAGTTATATGTGTGTATATGTATAGATAGATATTAAATCAGACTAACACCTAGATTATTTTACCTGCTGAGCTGCCAATCACTGGTTTTAAGGGTTCAACTTCCTTTAGCAGAAACAGAAAAAAAGACTAAATGTGAACAAGACTTAAGTAAAAACAATGCTTTAAAATTATATATATATATATATATATATATATATACTACTAAAATAGCACAATGATCAATTCAGATATAATTTTGTCTGACGATATAAAAGAAAACACAATATCAATATCTAAATGGAACATAAAAACAAATGTAGATTGTCCTGCCACTGACCTTTTCACTGACTTTGGATGCAACCTCTGAGGGCCTTCCAACACACTGTAAACTTACAATAAATAATAAAAAAAGTTTTTTGATTTTTATTTAAATAAATATTAAATAAACAGTAGCCTATTCCTACTTATAAAAATGTTTGAAACACAATTATGTGTTCATGTTGAGTTAAAGGGGTCATATGATGTTGCTAAAAAGAACATTATTTTGTGTATTTGGTGTAATGAAATGTGTTTATGCGGTTTAAGGTTCAAAAAACACATTATTTTCCACATACTGTACATTATTGTTGCTCCTCTATGCCCCGCCTTTCTGAAACGTATACCATGGACCAGCTTTAAACAGGGCCCATGATATTATTTAAACATACAGTATAGCTAACAGTCCACTTGAGGAAAGTTAGATCCGTCGTGATGTACAGTATTGCCTGTAATTCAAGAGTCTGTTGAATATTTTAAGCATTGATCACAATCAAGAGTCACATTCCATCGCAACAATTACAGCAAACAAAGCGAACCAGCCATGTATAAAGAAAACGAGGCATAAACTGTTTGAAAAATGACAGTTATGCAAAACACAGGCTAATACATTAAAAGTGCCATGAAGGTTCTTACCTGTTCATCTGTGCGAAGTGTCTAACTTTATATTTATAAAGATCTGTCGACTGTATTTGAGAGCTGAAGGGGTAATATTTTTCAATATATCTGTCATAAAATTTTTTATCTACAGTAACACGTCTTTAAAGTTTCTTTAGACTTTCTGAAGCCTCGTTGCGGTTTGAGAACACTGGAAGGTTGCAGCGGACGAGCGTCCTGTTCCATAGCAACCCTCCGGTTGCGTCACCTCTAAATAATCCGAGCGCAACATGCTCCTTCCGGAACGAACGTCTTACGTCACAGTGTCAATACTGGCCCCAGTTCCAAAACAAAATACAAACACAATATATTTGTCGTACACAATATGTTACAGCATAAAATTCATAATAATAATAAACAGTAGCCTACACAATACACTCTTCTTTGGTCCATGAGGATTTTAAACTCCCAAATTATTAAAAAGCGACTAAAGTAGTGTATTTTTGGTGTCCTAAAATAATAAAAAAAACACATACAATAAAAAAAAAACAGTAAAACAGTAAAGTAAAAAATAGTATACTTGATTTAGCCCATAAGAGTACTGTCTTTTTGAAAACGAAGGTAATAAATACCAATTAATGTTTTATTTAAGTTACACCTCTCAAGTGTTTGCCTGTATACAAATGCTACCATATTGCATAGAGGAAACTTTGACTAGCCTAGTTGTCACACATTACTTTAAAATCATTTCTATATAGACACTTACCTCAAAGTTCTAATTATGCAAACGCTTTTAAAAATTTCTCAGAAAGAAAGAAAGAAAGAAAGAAAGACTTAATCCGCATCTTTTGAGCATGTTGTCACACTATATATGGCGTAAGATGTCTCAAAGACATCAAATAACCTGCTTTTCTGTTATATTTAAACAACAAACCAATTATGAAAACAATTGAGCAAACATACAAAAATGTGAACCCACTGTTTTGTCCAGCAAATACTGTAATTAATAAAATGTATATACACGTATAACATTTACAAACAAACGTGACAACTAGCCCCCAATATGAAGGTGTTTGAATTAAACTTGAATTAAAAACACACCCCAACATTTTATATTTACTGAGATGGCCCGCAAAAAGTGTTCACAAAAAGTACTTTGAACAATCTAAGACTTTTGTTCAAGAGTTGTGTTGATGTGATCCAGCACGGGAAACAGCGGTCTGTTCTTGCGCATCAGGTGCGTCTTCAGGTGTTTGGCCAGATGGTCGCTGCGCGTGAAGCGTTTGGCGCAGTCCGGGCACGTGAAGCGCTTCTCACCGGTGTGCGTGCGCAGGTGCCTCTGGAGCTCGTCCGAGCGCGTGAAGCTCTTCCCGCAGAACATCCAGCTGCAGACGAACGGCCGCTCACCTGCGTGCCACCTCAGGTGCGCCTTCAGGTGCGACGTCTTGCCGTACACCTTCCCGCAGCCCGGCATGTGGCACACGTGCTGCTTTCTCCTGCCCGGCGCGCAGCCACTCTTTTGGCAGTTGGGGCACATGCACCTCCGGCATCTCCGCGACTTAGAGTGCAGCAGGGTGGCGATTTGGGACTGGTACTGGCCGAGCTCAGGGTGGCCCAGAACCCACCCACGGGGGATCTGAAAATTATGTGTTGAGGAGTGATTGGCAGTGCCGGCGTCCTGCAGGGTCCACCATTGGTCCAAAGGTCCAGAGTGCGTGGGTACGTAAGTTGAAATTGACTTGGGAAGAGTAGCGCATGCGGACGGACAAGGCAACATCTTCAGGGGTGAGAGGTCATAGTGTTCCGCCGGGGGTGTCAGTGGCATTTCGTGGTGTGGATTTAAGGAGGTTTGGAGGTGCTGTGAGAAATTTGCATGTGTGGAACCATCACTTCTCCAGGGATGGAAGAGCTTAGGTGGGGAACCTTCACATGGGACGTGCTGGTGGTGTTCCATGGATCTGGATGCACGGGTATGGCCGATGCGATTACAGGTGTCTTCCAGCAACATCAAGGGGATCCTTTGATGGATTCTGGGGTCGAGTTTGGCGTCCAATCCTACGAAATATAATACCAATTCTTAAAAATTACGTTCGATTTATTAGTACTCTAATCCAATTCTGGATTCTGACACTTATTGAAGGCGATTTAAAGAGTGAGAACCACTGCTCTAAATGACACTTGCACAATTTTTTGTGCAAATGAATGCTCAAAGTGAATCCTTAAAATAATTAATCCACCCTAACTCAACATGCACGCTTAAAATCCATCAAAATTATAAGTTTGGGACAGTTCACCTCAGAGAATCATCTTTACGCACCTGAAGGAAAACTTGTAGTGGGTCATTGCGCATTATGGCAATCGCAGTTATGCCACACCAGTGAAACCTTCTCGAGCCAGAATCCTTACAGTTCCCAAAACTGCGCACCTCAAACAACTCACGGGAGAATCCTGGAGCAAAGTGAACACACTGGCATGATTTCATTGAGTTTGATCAGAACTCCAGCCAGTCAGAACGAAGAGTTTTGCCTTTGAAGATTACCGCTGCCCAATCATCAAAGAATAACGGAAGAGCTCAAATCCTTTGAGTGTTTGCTGCTTTGGATAATAAAAGAATTGATTATTTGGAGGGTGAGATGTGTAGAGATGAAGGAGGTGCAATTAATGAATTAATTAATCTGGATTGAAGTTGAATGGATCAAAGAAATAATACAAATGTTGAGTATATGTCACTGAAGAGATACATTTAAACATACAGTAATTGTGGCTTATGTCTATGAGGCGGGATAAAATTATTTTCTTTGGGTAATGCATGTTAGTTAGCAAAATATGAAAAGTTGCAACTTTAAATGAAATAAAGGGGTACCTATACAGGTTCAAGTTTTGCTTTGTCAAACTTATAAAAGACAAATAAATAAATAAACACACATACTTGTAAGAATATATATGCTAGTACTGCTTACCAATGAAAGTTTTTTTAAGCTCCATTTTAGAGAAAGAAAACAAAATAATGTGTACAAGTTTATAAAATTGTGTGGATGCAGAATCCATGTAACTTGATTAGTTTTATTGCCATTTTTAAGTTTAAACGTTGATCTTTGTAATAACAGGTATTTTAAAAATCAGTAAAATATAAGTAAAAAAAAAAAACAGTACAATATATCATAGCAACAAGTTTTTCAGGAACATACATACAATTTGAATGTCCCAGCATGCACAGCAAAATCTGAACTGAATTGCTCTTTTGGACTGAATTTAGTTTTAAATATGTATCTGCCCTATATTTCATTTGGAATACACAAAAAAATAATGGAACATTATAGAGTTAAAAAAAACAAAAACAATTCCAAATGAATATTACCTTAGTTGGGATTAAGAAACCTTTATTATTTTAATAATATTTTAAAATATATTTGACAACAAAATTCAAAACAGGAATAATGTAGAACTGGACTGTTTTTTGTTTTCATATTTTTTAGAAATTGAAAATCAGATGCACATTGATACATACCGCACAAAAAAACTTTAATATAGTATATAGTATAGTAAAACATTACTATATTTGAATATATATTTTTTCACCAATTACTACATTTTTGTGAAAGTTCGAATTTAACATTTTAAAAGATTTTAGTTTAATTATATTACAGTGATTAAAAAAGAACAGCATGGAAACTTGCCGACCCATTCACGATGATGCAGTGAGAGTGAAGGACACGGTTAAGAGGCAGCGTGTGGGAGGCTGGGCTATTGAATACCTCTTGAAGTGCTTACAAGGGTGTCTAGAACTAGAGCAACATCTGTGGCTTTCCACAACAAAGCAGAACTCTGTTCCTTCACGGCACGCAGCTTTGAAGTCTCATGAAGACAGAAAGCATCCATTGTCCTCTCAGGCCTACATGAAGGCCCTCCAACTTGGGTCTCTTTAATTTAAAAGTTTCCCCCAGTAATGTGATAGTTCTCTCCTGTTTCCCTTAGTGAAGCTTTGAGGTGAAGTCTGGTTTTGTGTTTAAAAGCCAGAGTTCTGGCGAGCAGTTTAGCCCTGGGTCATGAACTGTGGGCCGTTTGAACCGGTTTACATGTGTGTGGTATACGGTCCTGCTCAATAGTACATAAGCTGACGAATGCAGTCATATAATTATTCCAGAATTACTGTTAATGAATGGGTATTTTAAGGTTTGTTAAAATACATATTTTTGTTGTGTGAACCTCTAAAGTCAGAATCAACTTTAACTTAAGTGCTGAGCTAAATTTAAACAGAAATATCCAACAGTGTCCTGCATTTTTAGTCAATCAAAATATGCACATGGGTAAAAAATGTGTTTTTATGTGTGATAAACACTGTATATGTATATGTACCTTATATGTATGTTATTGGAGGGCTGTATTCCACATGTCTTCTCAGCAAAAAGCAGTTCTTTATTACAAATTTTGGATTTCGCTAGGCATGACAGTTAAAAAAAAAGCATGCTATTGGGTCAGAAGAGCCTAGGGGGGAAGATGCCTGTTAATAGAATCAGAACGCTTTCAACATGCAATCCAGGGTGTGAGAGTGACCCAGTTTACATCAGACCTTTCCTTTGAGGAAGATTCCACATGTCTTCTCAGCAAAAAGCAGTTCTTTATTACAAATTTTGGATTTCGCTAGGCATGACAATAAAAAAAAAGCATGCTATTGGGTCAGAAGAGCCTAGGGGGGAAGATGCCTGTTAATAGAATCAGAACGCTTTCAACATGCAATCCAGGGTGTGAGAGTGACCCAGTTTACATCAGACCTTTCCTTTGAGGAACACCGAACAAGAAAGAGGGAACGAGAGAGAGAGAAATTATAACATTGAGTCTAGTCTGTAATTATTCCTGTGGTAATGGTTATTAGAGCAGATCGGACATGAACCAATCAGAAGAGGTCCGGACCAGTTAGCTTCATCTGTATGAGCAGCATTTATAATATTTGCAGTATTGCCTGTGAGTGCTTTACATTTACCAACATCATGACAGTTTTGTGCATTGTTAATATTTACACGTATATTCTAGGTCCTGAGACTCATCACCTTTTTAGCATTTCAAGTATTTTTCTTTCACTAGCTCATTTTTCAATGGTCCTGCTGTGTGAAAACAGTAAAGTACAGCAGTCTTCTAAAACTGCACTAAACGAGTGCCACAACGCTGCAGAGTGATAAAGAACTGTAGGCTGCAATTAGAGACGGTGTGTGAATGAGGTAGTTCAGTAATTGACAGGAGACAGAGCTGCTCGGCTAATG